GTCAGCTGCCTAAGCAGAGAAACATTTGCCACAAGTTTTGTCTGAGGGATTTTGTTACTGGAAGGTGTAGTACTGCAGTTGGTGCAGAGGCAGAAAGATTGTTTCGGGGGGGGAGAATAGCGTGACGTTGGTAGCAAGATTAAATTGGTAGCATGCTACCTAGTCTACTGCGAAGAAGCGCGCCAAGAACTCTGAATTTTCAAACTCCTATAAAAAATAGTATAGTCTAAATTTTTCTTTGTTCATCACTTGTTCATCATCTTGCTCGCATAAGAAATGCATTGTAGAGGAGTTAGCTTTTAGTGGTTTCTCATGTGCAGCGCAGTAATGATATCTGAGAGATCAATTTGTCACCTTTCTTCCACAGCTGGAAAACTGTTTGCTTAGAACACAAAACAGGAAGGAGTTTGTCGCTTTCAAAGAAGAAGTGTTAATAGCCTGCTAGATAAGCTTTCCCTTTATTTTTCATCTACTGACACTTCTTTTTCCTGTTCTAATGCCAACAACTTTGCAGTGTCTGTTATTCTTACTGTAGGAGTCTTTAAGAATCTGGTGGAGGTCACGTACATGCTATTTTTCCAGAACATGCAACATACAGAGAGCTAAATGATTGCCCAAGTTACCATGGGTTATACTACTTTTCTGACTTAAATACTCAGTAGCCTTCCCCGCCCCTCTCATTTTTTTTTTTTTTTGAGTGCCTTATTGACACCACACAAGTGTTATCTGGTGTTTACATACTTTCCCCTGGATTAGTAAGAATCACGGAGAGCTTGTTGAAATTTGAGTTATACTTCCCTGGGTATCTTTGTTCATCAGCTGGAACCTTTATTCAGCTTTTGGGTTAGGATCAGTGGTGAACATCTGAGCTGTGGTAGCAGGGGCCATACGCTGCATTCTGTTTACATATCTAGGAACAGAAGTAGATAATAAGATTAAAGAAGAAGAATGTGAGAAGTATGACATTCATAGCAGTAAATGGAGCTTATGTCTGCATAGGGGAGTATTGCAACAGCTGTTTCTAGATAGGCTTTACTCTTGCTGAGTAGCTCTGGTCTAGGAGCTCCGTTTTGCTCCAGAAATGAGCAGGTGATTTACCTGGCCCTGCACCGAGGCTGCGGCTCTCTGGAGATGCCCGTGTGCCTTGGGTGCAGCTGGGTGTCGTGCAGCTGGGCCAGCTGGTGCGCAGAGCGGGAGGAGGGCAGGGAGAAACAGCGGAGCTGTCGCAGGGAGTCGGGAGATGCTGCGTGTTTCATTTGTGGCACTGAACAGATCCTGGCTGAAGTCCAAGTGCATGGACATGGTGGACTCCAGATTCAGTTAACATCTCCGTGAATTTCAGAACCGGAGGCATATTTGTTACAGTGTTTCATTTTCCTTGTCAAAAAGCCTGAGTTGTTCTAAAATACCTTGATGAATTCCACTTTTGTTCCAAGAACTGATCATATTAGTGTGACTTATTACCATAATGTCACATCGCTTGCTAACTTTTCTACTGCTGACTTTTTTTTCTCCTGACTGCTTGTCAGTTCATTACTGGCTTTGTATCAGTGGGAGAACAGTTTAACAGAAAAGAAATTGGACAGGAAAAATGTATGCGTGGAACTTTTTGCCATGTTGAATGCCAGGCTAGCTGATGTGGTAATGTGGTGATGATCAGTGCTGGGTAGACTGGCCTGTACCAGCTGCTGTTTTAAGGGAGCTGGAGGAAGTGGTCCTGTTAAGTTTTCTTCCTCTCCACTTCCATCTCAGGCTGATTTAGTTCAAATGGCCAGTGTAAGCCTGACCTTCCTGTGTTTGCTCAAAAGCTTTAGTTTAAGGCTTGTTGCCTAGTGTCTCCTTTAGGGACAGAGTCTGAGGTGCGTTTGCTCAGCCCAGTTACAAACTCGCCCAAACCAGAGGAAATCTTGTCTCCTGAGCTCAGGTAATGGATGGTGCCAGCTGAAGTGGTCAGGTTACTGGTGACGAGCTGTGTCTCTGCGGTGAATGAGTGGCTGACGTCTGGAGCCTGGCTGTCTCTCAGATGTGATGGCTGGGGGTGATTTGTCGTCTTTAACACCACTTCAAAATGTTTACACTGATTCCCTTCTTTCGGAAGGTCAGGTCTTGAAGCTGGTAGGAGGTGGCAGCTTAAAAATTGTCTTCACCCTTAACGCTGACTCAGTCCAAGCCTTACTTTTCAGGTTCTGAGATTAAGTGATGATCCCTTTAAATCCTGGGCTCTGACTTTCTGGAGGCTTTTTGTGGAGAGACACTGATCAATATGCTGAGCAAAGCTTGTTAAGTAATTTCCAAGACACCTGTGAGCCTCTTCTGTGCTGCCGCTTTTAGCATTTCAATGTGGCAAGTGCTCAGTAGCCCGAAGCGAAGTTGTTGAAGTAGATACAGATGAACAGGTCAAAGATAAGCAGAAGCAGCATATGAAAGGGCAGTTCCAGCAGACAGCAGGACTCCCAGTTTCTTCTCTGTTGCTTTACTGGAGTCAAAGGGAAAAAATTAAGCAATGGAAAGGATTTATTTTATTCTTGCTCCCCAGAATTTCAGTTTCTTTCCACAGAGTGTATTTGCTGATCCTGCATCACTATCCCCAAAGCAGCAAAGGCATTTTTTGAATTCAAATGATTCTTTTTTTTTCTTGATGAACTTATGCTAAAGAACCCGGGGG